ATACTGGCCAAGATGATGTGGATGCCGACGAACGGGACTTCTTGAAGCAAGCCGGGCTGTGGGAGGCAAAATCAAGACGTGGCTCTTTAGAAAGGACACCTATGTCTACAGTTACAGAAGGCACCGAGTACTCAGTTACGACAGATCGAGACAAATTAGAAAGAAGCAAGATTAGAAGAAGCTTGCAGCGAACTCTAAGGGAGAGTGCAGGTCACCTTTCACATCATCGCAGCAAGAGGGGCAGAGACACAGGCCCACCAGCTGTTGGTTCCGTGGATGATGGGACCCGGGAAACGACGCTGTCCCGTGGAACTGGTAGCTTTGTTGTTCACGGTAAAAAAGCCTCGGTGATCAATCTGGGCACAGAGCTGCAGACATTGTCTCAAGAAGACAAGATGATGTCACGGAAACAGCACGAGTCATTGCATCAAGACCAGCAAGACCAGCTAGCTACCCCTTTGCTGGGCAACGACAGCCCTGATGACGACTTCCACTCCGCACTCGAAACCCCATCCGAGTCGAACGGCACAAGTAGCAGGAGGAACTCGGTAGCTAGTACAAGCACTGCCACCGCTCGTAGCTTTAGAGATCTTCACAGGAAATATTCATCAGCACAAGCAGCTAGGAGCGCTTCCGGTGGAAGACTTGCAATCTCATCGGATGGTGAAAGTGAAGTCAGCCCTAGCATCCGCGACGGCAGAAAATCACCCCAAATAGTATCAGGAACGCGGCTAGAGGACCTGGAGGCAGGGGCATGTTCACAAGTGAGTGAAAGCGTGACCGAGGACAAGGAGTTGGACGGAGAAGTTTGTGAGAGTGACGAGTCGTGTGGTAACGACGAAGGCACACGACTTGAGCCTGAGACCCTAGCAACTCAGCCGATACAGGCTGTGAGTGTCTAATTGAGAGACTTTCTGACTTCGATTAGAAGAGGAGATGATTAGCTGCAATTTACATGTGAGTGTTTATACTAGCGTTGGGATTTCGCAAGCTCTGCAAAACAATCAAGGGAGCGACTGGGAGAATTCAGGGTATGACAAAAGGCAATAATAAGCAGCGCTTCTCATACAACCGTAACATGGCATTTGCACTTGTGATCGTGTGTTCTTGCTGGTTCCTTCTGTACTGGGAACAATGGTCCGCAATGATTTCATCCAGACAGAACGTACTGGAGACAGCCTCACAACTGCGGCGAGGATATTGCAATGTGTTTGCATCTATAGAATTTGACGGCACGGACAATATCCTCGGACGTCAGGTAGAGAGACTGAGCACACATCTACGCTACGGAAGGAGGGCGCATGATTTGAAAACATGTCCATTTCGCTCCGTGGTAGTGATCAGCTTGTATCATTGTAGCATGACTTCTAAGGCTCACTGAGAGTTGTGCAGTATTGCAAATAATGCCTCGATAGCCTCTGTATTGATGTACTATCCGGCCAGGTCGTAGTCTCCCATCCCGGACTCCTTAGGACCCTACAGTTAGGCTTCACAGCCACCATCAGACTTATTTCTTACCCTTCTTCTTCTTCTTGGATGAGCTTGACACCGACGCCTTTTCTACCTTAACACCGCCACCGCCCACAAGACCCAGGGTTTCCTCCTCCTTTACCACACCACCCTGCGTAGACTCGGCAACTTTCTTCCGTCCCTTCTTTCCCTTTGGCCGATATGTTGACCTATCACGCAGTGGAAGCCATCTTTCAGGATCAGGGGTTTGACCCTCAACAAAGTTCTTCGGCAGCCTTATCCTCTTTCTTCTCTGGCTTGGGCGCTCGCTCCTTGGAGCGGTGGGGGACCGCCTCTTCTTGCTTCCTGCTGAAGCTTCGATGGTAGAAGCCACTCCAGAGTTTATGAGACCTTCTACGTCAATGCCGCTGACAAGGCTTTCCACGGAAGGAAGTTGCGCAATATGTCGTTCCACCGCACTAGCATCAGAAGCAGCTACTGCTGCTACCAGCCCAGCAGAAGTAATAGGTGATGTTTGCTTTTCACTCTGTAGCTTTGTAAATGCAACCCGTGCCAGGTTCAATTCATTGCGGCTAGACGAGGACGCAAGTGCAATGCCAGCCTCTTCGAGGAGGGAAACAACCGGACTGGTTGGACGGTCGCGCCAGAACTCGGCAGCCTTCACAAGCTCGGCCTTGGCTGACGTCTCCCGTTTCTGGGTCTTCTTCAACGCTACTGCGAGAGCTACCAGCCCGGGGCTGAAACGGACACATTGGGATTGTTCATCCGCGGACTGTTCCAGTCGCGAGAAAAACGACGTCAGAGTGTGTAGGGCGGCACCGAGGTTCTTTCGCTCCAAGTGAAGCTGCACTATGGTCAAGACAAGCCCCGTATCGTTGGGCCTTGCTTTGGAAAGACTAAGGAGTGATCGCAGAGCATCCCTGCGGGCTAAACCTTGCGTCTCTGCGGCAGCTCCAATGACGGACATGCCGTTTAAATCGGCATTGCAGGATGGCATTTGGTCCTTTGTCGTCGCCTTTTTCACCCTCTCTTTAACACCGTTGACTTTGTGTGCACGCAAATCAACGACAGACGCATTCCGGGCGAGAACATCAGACTGAAACTTGAATAATTTAGCCTTGCTGCTTGCCGACATCCAAGACGCTACCTCGCGTTCGACCAAGAAGGGATTCTCGGGCTTCTTCTCCAGCGCCCAGCAGTTGTTCTGGGTGATTATCTTGAAATCGGGGTCGCATTCCCTATATTTTGCGAGCAAGGTCAGTTAGCATACCTGTCTAATTTGGCAGACTCCCACAATTGCAAACTTAGTCACAATTACTTACGCAGGGATATCTATGGAAGAGTATATATCCCTAGCACGGTCAAGATCTCCCATCTTGGCCAAAACTAAAGCCTGCTGAGCAAGAATGGGCTTGCGCTCTTCTTCTTTATCTTCGTCTGTCAGCTCATCAGAAGCATCACAGAGGGCAAGGGCTCGCTGCAGAAGTTTCAGTGCCAGTTGCAACGATCCTCTGGCGATATTTGCGCATGCAGCATTGTAACACAGCTCAAAGGCCTCCATAGTTTTTTCTGGATCCGAGACAAAAGATGTGGAGATATCTTTCCACTGGGCTTGAGCCAGTGCTGCCTGGATGTTGATGCTAAGATCATTGGCCTCTTCATTGGGATCAGAGGCGAGAAGTCGATTATATATGGACAGTGCCTCATCAAAGTTCTCGGCACGGTATGCAACTTGAGCCGCAAGATGACTAAGGCTTCGTTTCTGAATGCCCACGGATGCAAGGACACTGGTTGCGTCGTCTAGTTTTCCCAACTTGTAAAGAGCATATGCCCTCTCGAGCACACAATTGGCTTCCAGCTTGATCCCACTCTCGGATATTGCCCGACAAGCATCGCTAAATCTGTCCAGCTTCAACAGAGCGACAATTCTCGTGTGCTGTGCCAGCTCGTCGGTTTTGTCGGCCTTGAGGGCCGCATTGGCAGCTTTGAGAATTTCATCGTGGTCGTCTATGGTGGCTCCGCGCAGCAAGGCGCTGAGGGTAGTGGCGGGGTCTTGAGGCATGATTATGGCAGCGGAGGCATTTCCCCGAGACAGACAAGGCGTCGGCTGACCAAAGGATTGGGAGCTGGTGCAGATGACGAGGGTTGAGGGTTTGAGCGGCACGTTGCAAAGGCGGAAGGAAAGTCCTCTATGCCAGGTGTGATTCTCTCAATAGCACGACCCGTGGCTTCAAAGAAGGACACCCTGCGGGCGGGGAGGATGCCTCTTCAGCGGTCGAGGCTGCGAAACGAAGTGAGATCGACGGTAGACTGGTCGCGCTGCTGGCACAGCTGGAGATGGATAATATCAAGTCTAGTCTAGGTAGTAGTTATTAAATTGAATTTTGGGTGCCACGGGGCTTTCGAGTCTTTGGGCAGGATGTGGGGCAGGTAAGTTACCTAGTAGTGGGAGGTACTCCCGACATCGAACTGCGCATATTAGTTATTAGCTGTCCCTATTGCAGTGGTTGAAACCACCAGACTCGAGAATTCAAGGACTCAGAGACTCAAATAACTCCCCAGGCCGCCAGTGCTCAAGATGGAGCCGTTTGCTCCGGTTCAAGGACAGCCAACACCATTGCCCCCCAAGAACAGAGCTAGAAAATCACTGCTCCAGACACAAACAAAAAATTTTTAATAAACATGACGCTGTACGGAGTACTAGGAGCAATTTCAATTGGTCATGGTACCACCGAAAGACATGGGGTTATCCAGAGGGCTGTCAACGATCAGCAAGGAGGAGTTACTTCCCTCTGCGAAAACTTTGTTACGTATATTGTCCCAAACGCCATGTATCACACTTGGGTTGTCTCTCTAGCCGGGAAGACAATAACGTTATTCCATGGCCCTCAACTTTAGCATGTACACAGCCATCCTCACAGTTATCTCGGTAGAACCAGTTGAAGTGACAGAAGCTACGTAGAGTATCCCATGGCCCTTTTCAAATAAGGCATCTCCATGTCCAAGGCTTGGCGGATGGAAGCTATGGGCCGCCCTTCTGTATATGATGGGAGTCATCTACCCGGGAGCGAGTGATGGCCCATGTCGTTTCAATGTTGCCATTCCCACTCAATTGGGAGCCTCCCACCATGGTCAAGCAAGTAGGGAGGTATATCAAGATTTGAAAAGGCGTAAGTAGTAGAGTAACCCTCTTGGTGCTTTGCCTAGGTACCTAAGGTATGCAGATGTGCTGATACGTTAGTGCCAGCTAGCCATCCATCGATACTAATGGATTGACTCTCGTGCATGGCGTGTCAACACGCTGAAACCCACCGGGCCCCACGCCGCATCTGCCCCTGTGCCGCAACTTATTCTGCACCAGATCTGCACAAGGCCTGCACCGGACACCACTCTCACTGCAGGCAGCGTCGCTATACCTGCGCCTGTGCATACCACCTCCCTGGCATCTTACTGGATTGAACCAAATCGAGAGCATTGTCCAGTTACTTGTCTCTCTGATTAGGAAAATTTTTGCATCGTTTTTTCTTACAATGGATTTCGACATTGAGATGGGAGACGCTGCGCAGGTCACGCAAGACCTGCCAGCAGAGGAACTGCCACTGGCAGATGATATTTTGGTATTATATGCATCCTTTTCTTTTTCTCTAGCCCACCCGCCACCATTTTTCTGTGCCTGAGTTAACAACACTTTAGGGAACGGCCGAACCTCAGGAGCCCGGAGAGCTGGTGGAGGACGAATCTGCCAACCAGGATGAGAACGAACGCAAAACTCTGATTCCCAATAAGCTTCATATTCGAGGTGTCGATACCTTACATACGGACGATATAAAAGCATACATCAAGAGTCATTTTGGGCCAGTGGACAAGATTGAGTGGATTGACGATAGTTCGGCAAACCTGGTGTTTGTCAACGAGCTTACAGCCCGAGATGCCATCATGGCGTTGAGCGCTATTGAGGTAGTCGACGTGACAGTTTTGCCGCCAGGAGAGACTCTGCCGGCGAAGTCGTTTGATGGAAAGCCAGAAATTTCACTACATGTTCGCTTCGCTGTCACTACCGACAAGAAACAGGCTGGAGCCGCACTGCGCAGCAGATACTATCTCCTACACCCGGAACATGATCCCGAAGAACGGCGCCGGAGATACAAAGAAAACAGGCCAAGGTACAGAGAGAGAGACGACGATTATCGCAGAAGCGCTGGCCGGCGAAGACGCGACTCGGACGATGATGTCGAGACGTTCGAGGCTAGCATGTATGATGACATTCCTCGCTCGAGTCGCTCGCAACGAGACTCGGCCCCAGCGGCCAATTTGAGATCGTACGCCGAGGAGAACCGTGGAAAAGAGCTATTCATGAAAAAATCTACCAGGCGCGACAGGTCGGCTTCCCCCCGACGAGACCGCGACGGGGATGCCCAGATGGATGACATGGACGGATCCTCGCACAGAAATAGAGCCCAGGCCAGATCCATCAAAAATCGTATAGTTGCCGATAATAGCAGCAAAGAATTATTCCCAACCAGAGCTAGTGGACGAGGTGGCCAACTGGATCAACTTGAAGATTCCATTGGCTCTGCGAGGCTAGAAGACCAGGATCTTCCCAAGATCGTCGACATCTCTGACGCCCAATCCGGCAACTCTATTAACATTCGAGGTCTGGCCAACCAGAGAGCTGACGACAGGGCTGGGTTTTCCATAAAAGGAGCTGCTGCCACGAGTGCTCGGGAGCTGTTCCCCGACAAGCTGGGCGCAAGCAATGCAGGCAAGGAGCTGCTGGATCCAGCGCGTTCAAAGCGAAGACAAAGGGCCGAGGACCTCTTCTCCTAACAAGCAATAGAAGAGGAATTTCGTGGCAGGGTCTGGGAACGAAACGGTGTGGTTGGAAAGAATATTTGACTCTCGGGAGGAGGAAAAGCCTGGCGTTCAAAGGCAATCACGGCATTGATGAGACAGACAAATGGAGATGACTAACTAGAATTGGCTATGACCAATATGCCATGACGCAATATGATACCATGGTTGGAGTTGAATGATACTTTTGATCCTTTGTCATCAGATGTAGTCACCGCCTACCACCACCTCTCCGTCATGATTTGTGCTGGCGATATGCTCAATCCTGGATTACCAGAAGTCAGAGACGTAAACATGGAATCTGTCATGGTTGGAGGACCGCAAATGTAAAACATGCTCGAAGACCGGTCCCCATTCGTCGGATCTGGGCACAAATCAGCCGCCGATAATCTGCCCTCTTGAACTTCAACGAGTTTGTCTATGACACGATGAGCTTTGCGGCATCTCTTGAAGCGCTGAAGGCTTTCGGGGCTGCCCGTCAAGTACATCTTGAACTTTCCCTTGACCCGGCCATCTGCGAATAAGGCCGCTACACGCTGCACAAACAAGATGCTCTCCAAGCCTCCCCGGTCCGGCAACTTGCTCGCATAGAAGACGGATACGTCAGGCTTGGAAAAGCCATCCGTCTCACCGATATAGCTTAACATGCTCATAAGGGGGTTGATGCCTACGCCACCTGCCACGAAAACAATCCTCTCAATATTCTCCAACTGAGGACGAGAAGGGGGAGGGAAAACAAAGCTGCCCCCGATGCGGACATGCAAATTTGAGCCGATAATATTCTCCGCTGGCTGCCATAGCCATGCCGCGACCGCATTCTCCGGAGACTGCTGAATGGCGAGCTCGAGATAGGGCGCAACCAGACCATCGCACGAGGCTGCTGATGAAGGGGCGCAAGTGATAGTAAAGCCACCTGCCCTGGAGATTCCAGGGACATACGTATCTAGCCACTGGCCAGGCAAGAACTATTGCGCGCCGACAATAATCAAGTCAGTCATGATGACAGCGAGAACTCCCAAGGGTTGCAAGTCGATATATATTGCTTCCCTGACCGTCCTGATCGAGGTAGCTGGAGTGATACTTGCCTTTACGGGACCATTGCGAAGCTCCAGCCGTAAGAGCCTGACCCGTTCATTGACATTATCAATATGGCTTAACTTCACAGAATGTAATTCCTGGACGCCGGATGAGGTGCCATCTGTTAGCCTCGATCAATATGACACCGGCAATGGCTTGAAAGCCGTAAAAAACAATGAATACGGAAGGAAAGTATTAAACTGAGAATAGAGAAATGGCTAGTCATTTGCAGGGGCCATCACAAACAGCTTCTCTTGGTTCCTCGGCGGTTCGGTCGAGGTGGCTTAATTTGCTCGTGTCACATGAAAGCGGGTATTAGTTACTAGATAACATATAAAATAATAATAAAAAGCCTTAATTAAGCTATAAAAGAGAGAATTATATACGCCCCTTAAAAAGGGGCGCTTAACTCTACGAATATTATACGTATTATTTAATTTTCGTACGTATTACATAGCTAAATACTTAATATAGCTAATAAGCTTATTATACCGTGTAATACACCCCTTAATTAAAGCTACGTTTAAAGCTATTATAAGCCTTTAAGCTAATAAGCTTACGCTTAGCTAAGCACTTAATTAAAGCTCTTACACGCCTATTAATACCTTTAGTTTACTCTTTATAATATTTACGTGATTTATTATATTATTCTCTTTTTAATTATATTATTATTTTAGCCTCGTATTAATAAAGTAAATTAAAGGTAAGCTTTATACGCTTATTAGCTAATTACTCTTTATATTTATACGTATCTCTTAAGAGTATTATAAGCTTTTTTTCCTTTCTTTTATAATTACCTTTATATAATTATAAGCTTATATTTTAATTATTATAATTATATTAGGCCTTAAATTTAATTAAAAACTTATTAAGAATACCTAATAAAATATCTTTAAGAACCTTCTTTATCTTAATATTAAGATAACTTTTAAGGATTAATTTAATAGTATTAAAACCTTTAATAATAAGGTAAATAATTTATAGCTCTCTTTATCTTTAAAGTAATATTACTCTTTACTAGGTGTTAAACTAGTAAAGAGATAATAGGTAAGCTAAGCTTAAAAGCTTTAAACTATTATCTTATATACGTTAATTATTTAAACTACGTTTTTAAAGCTAAATATACTTTATAATATTCCTTATAAAGGCTATATTTAAGCTATTATTATAGGTAAAGGTAATAAAGGTTACTATTATAAAGTAATTAAAAGTTACTTTAAATAATACTACTTATATAAGACAGGTAATTACCCTTATTATTCTTAATAAGCTTATTTCTCTTTTCTTTAATTATTTAATTACTAATTCTATATATAATTACGCTATATTAATTTCTATTATTAAGTAAATACTATTAACGTTAAACGTAAATAATAAGGTAAGCTTCTCTTATCTTTACGCTTTATTATTTATAATTTCTTACTTAATTTTAACTATTTAAGCCTTAAATATATAATAGGTATTATTAGGCACTTTAATTATAATTTAATCTTCTTATAAAGTAAAGCTTTATATATAAAGGGTTTATAACTAGTATTAAGGTTAATAATACTATTAAAGGCTTATTTATAGCTAAGAAAAGTAAGAAAACTTAAGTAAAAGCCTTATTAAATTAGGTTATAAACTTAATTATAAAGAAGTAAGCTTTACTTTTATTATTTTCTTACGTGTATATTTTAATATAAGTAATAGCTTACTTTTACCTATTAGTATTTAAAGTTTTAACGTTTTAATATTACCTTATAAAATCGTGTTTACCTTTTAAGCGCGCTTTACTTAAAAGGGGTAAACGCTTATATATTTAAGGGGTAAATATACTTAATACCCCCCTTTAATTATACTCTTATTCGCGTAATTATAAAGCTATAAGATCTTTTTTTAACTATATAAGTCTATTAAATTAAGTAAGCCTTTAAAGTATTTAAAACGCTACCTATTTAATGCCTTTATAAATCTATTTATAGGTATTTTAACTATTAGTAAATTCGTAACTTTAAAGCTTTTCTTTTCGTATTTTTACTTTAATTATATATTATAAATATTAATATAACGTAAATACGTGTTAATTCGCTCGCTTAAATTAAGTATAAAACGAATAGTCTATTAATTATCGCATTTAATATTATATTTCTTTTAAAGGTTAAATTTAATATCCTAAAAAAGGCGCTTTAAAGCTATAATTTCCTTTATTATTTACTATAAAGTAAGTAGTTTTACCTTAATTATAAATATAATTATAATACTTTAACGCGTAGCTTTTTAAATAATAGGCCCTTTAAATAACATTATAATATAGCCTTATAATAACTTTTATATACTTATATTATTAGTATATAAAGTATTACTTATAACTTTTAACGCTTAAATTTCCCTTATACCTTTATAATAAAGGGTAACTTTACTTATAATAGCTAAATATTTAATAGCTTAATCTATTACCTTTTAATACTTAAGACCTAGATTTATTAGGAACAGAGCTCTTATAAATATAGTAAATACAAGTGTATTGTGTATTGTATTTTGTATTGTATTGTATTTTCGTGTATTGTATTTAAATACATTATATTACATAACTAAAATACCTATAAATGTATTATAAGTAAAAAAAACCCCTGTTTTCTTAAACTAAAGATTATAAGGCTAATTATAAGGGTTATAAGGGAAAATTTTATATCATTAAAAAGAGCTAAATTAGCTCTTTAAAACGCCCCACTTTTTATTACTATAAGTTATTATCTTAAAAAGTTATAAGCAATTGAAAATTCGCCCCGCTTTACTTACTTTTTATTTTAAGACATAACTTTAAAGCTTAATATCTCGCTTAATATCCACATTTTAAGGTTAATTTTTAAAGATTTAGAATCACGTGATTTTTAGCTTTATTTTAATATATAATATGCTTATATAAGCATTTATCTATATTATTAGATATTTTATAGCCTTATAATACATTTATAGGTATTCGTATCTTGTAATGTATTGTAATATATTACAATACAATACATTACAATACAGTATAGTAAAAAATATAATAATTACTTATTATATTATTTATAAAGAAAATTAAGTAAACGTTTTAAGCTTTATTATAAAAGATATAAGACTCTTTCTTACTTAAAATAAGCCTAGCTTTCTTAAGAGTTAAGCTTAGCTCTTTAAACTATAGGTTAAGTGAGTCTTTAAGCTTATATAAGGCCTTAAGTAACTTTATGTATTTCCCTAATATCTTAAAACTATTAAAAAGCTTATAAGTTATTAGAATTATATACTTATTACGCGTTATATATAAGAAGGTATTATTAACGTTATATTACCTTATCTTTATATTATACCTAGTAGCTAATACTATTATAATTTAAAAAGTATACGTTATAAGCGTTATTATATAGGTTTATTTAATTATTAAGCGTTTCTATAAGTCTTTACGCACGTAAATATAAGCTTTACACTTTATTAGAAAGCTCTTCTTATTAAATTTATAAGTATACACCTATTTTAAAGGTAATAGCTTAAATCTAGTATTTATACGCTTAATTTCTTTTTAGGTACCTCTTTTACGTAATACTATAACCTATACTATTATTACTTTCTTCTATTAAGCTTTTAATAGGTAATTTAATATCTCTCTCTAAGATTTAAGTAGCTTAATTAATTAAGATTAATAAATATTTATTAACTTAAGCTATTAATTAATATTAGCTTTATTTAACCTATTATAATACGTATTTATTACTATAAATATTATTATAAAGCTTTATATAGTATTTAACTTTATATTCTATTAATTAAATAAAATATTCTATTATAGCTACTTTTATAAACACTTAATTAAATACACGTTAAAACGCTTTTTACGTAAGGTACTTTAATCTTAATACTTTTTACTAGCTAGCTTTACGCTTTTACGCGTTACTCTTATATTTTATAAGCTCTTTAATTTTAGGTTATTAATAATAAATAATTCTATTATAATTAAAGCTTTTAATTACGTAATTAAGCGAGTAATTAATTTATTATTTACTTAATAAGCTTTTATTATTAAAAATCTTTACTTACTTTAATTATTACCTAATAGATTAATTATATAAGCCTTATCCTTAAATTAAACCGTTTCTTTTATTTAAGAAAGTATTAACTTTATACTTATTTAAGCTTTTAATATATTAGTTAATTACTTAAGCCTAATAGCTATATTAAGTAAACTAATATTAATCGTATAATCTAGCGTTTAACGTAGTATTTAAAGTTTTATACGCGTTTCTAGCTCTTATTTACTTAATTCTTTATCTTAAATAATTAATTAAGCTTTTACCCTTAAGTTAAAAAGCGTAATAAGCTTAATTTTAATAGAGTTTTCTTTTATAAGAGCTAATAGTAAGTTTAGCTTATTATTTAGCTTATTATTAACTTAAAAAGCTTAAAATTAAGCCTTTAACTTTACTATTAAAAGCTCTTTTACGCTTTTAATACGTAAATTATAAAAGATTAACTTATTAAATATTATATTCTTAGTTATTATTACCTTATTAAGCTAAGAAATTTATATTTAATAAATATTAAATGTAAAGTACCTAATAAGATAACTTATATAGCCTTTAAAGCTTATTTTATAGTACCATTTATTTTAACTTACCTTATAATCTCTCTTAAGCAAATATACGTGGTAGCTATATACGTAAACTCCGTTTTAATTAGGCCTTAAATTTATCGTATATTCTCTTATTAATAAGCGAGTATTATTATAAAATTAAGCCTTAAAGGTTTTTATTAGGGTTTTTTAGCTTATAAGCTAGCTTAAGCTTATATTATATAGGTATATTATAGCTTATATACTTTTTAACTATAGGTTTATAAATAGTTATACGCTTATAAGCATTTTATTTAAGCGTTTTATAATTATTTAACCTACTTACTTAATACT